ATGCCATCTCCATGGCGGAGGTGCGCTATCATTTGGGTTTTATGGGGATCGAGGATAACGGCCAGCACGAGGCTACTCTGACAGACTTTCCCCCAGGCGTCGATCGCCAGGCATTCTGGGAGTCGATTACGAGAGATGGCGGGACTTACACACCGAAGAAGTCCCCTAGCACTTTGCTTTACCCCCGCCAGTACCGCATTATACACGCACTCCTTTCCTCCACCATCACCGGCAAGGCCGAGGTTGCCGGTAAGGTCACTCAGACGGACCTCTTCTGCTTATATTGTATGATCCACAACTGCAAGCCCCACATGGGCTATCTCATAGCCAAACTCCTCCACCGCCAAGCCACGAACCACATCAAGGCCATTTATGTTGGCCCATTCATTACGAGACTTTTGACTAGGATGGGGTTCGGGGACCGCTTTCAGAGGATGGAGGAGAGCTCCAGTTTTGCTGCTTTGACCCGGCTCCCCGAGGTCAACACTGGCGTTGCGAGGAGAAGGACACAGCAGGCAGCACCAGCAGGAGGAGGAGGACAGCGAGATGATGATGATGATGATGACGACGCTGATGATGATGATGAGGTAGAGATGGAGGAGGCTGCTCACGAGGCTTCATACGATGCACCCCCCTACGGCACAGCATTTCCGGATTCTTGGGCGGGGATGCATGCGCATCAGGATGCCGTCTATCGGCAGTTGTCCGCTGAGCAGCATGAGCGGTTCGATCAGATGCGCTTCGAGCAGCAGGACTTCTACAGAGAGATGAGGGAGGATCAGGCACTCCACTATTCACAGCTCCAGTCTCAGTATACACGGATTGATGAGAGACTCACCTCCATGGAGACCAGTTGGAGTTCATTCTTCGATGCCTATCCACCGCCGCCCCCTCCTGAGTTTTAGATTTCATTAGATTGTCCTCTGCTAGCATCTGTATCATTTTTACTGTTGGATGACTGTACCGTAAACACTATCACACTCACACTCTCACTCTTTCACATTAACTCTTTATTGTGTGCTTTGCTTTGTGATCATGATGTGTGCAGCTTAGTAGATGAATGTGTTCGTGCAAATCAAGACCCAGTTCTGATCCTGACTGACCAACGCGATAGGGGAGTTTCCATGCTTCTTTGTACTCAATGCGTAAATGTTAACTTGAGTTATTTTTTGAGCACGCGTGACCCTTTCCTCTTTATCCCTAGTACATAATGCATATTTGGCCATCGAGGGCGATGCCAAAGTTTAAGTGTGGGGGAGTGAATTGGGCATTCGGGCAGTAGTTGTCACATGTGATTTGTTAGAGTTAGCATGCGCAGGTGTTAGTTGTATATTCATAGAAAATTCATGCAAAAATTTTGAAAATTTTTCTTTAAACTGTGTCTTTGTGAGCTGGCTAGCGTTTTGACTATGCTTTTAGAACATCTTTGAAGTGTTTAGGCTTAAATTGCTTTCACTATAATCTAGTTGTTGAAAGGATGAAGGCATTAGTCACCCATTGAATTTTCCATTAATTGTCTACCCCACCTGAAAGAACCCTTTAGGAGAAGCCATTTTTGAGCCTGACCGTTCTTTGTTTACCCAATTAATTTAGCTCCATAGCCAAATGACCTGTTTCCTTACCCGTGAATATTTCTGACTTAGTCTTGATGTGTAGGGAATTAAGGGATTAATTTGCTAAGTTTAGGGAATTTGTGTATGAGCCATTTTTTGGCACTGTTCCTATGCCTCAAACGGGGTAAGAGCAGTCATTTTTTAGGAATATGATACTTTCGAGGATTGCATTGTAGGCATGGATTCACTTTGAAATAAATGAACCTTAATTGCTATTTTTCCTTGGTGAGGCCGAGATTAGAATGGGGTAATGTCTAGTAAGAATCCGAAAGGTGAAAAATTAATATAGCTAGACCTCTTACTTTGCGAAAAAGAGAATGGGAGCCCCGGTCAAAAAGCGTAAGATGAGACTTGGGTATCTTTCGAAAGAAACGGCGTTCTCGTGCCAACATGACAAGGAAAACTAAACTTAATCAATGAACTTGGAGGCTATTGAAAAAACTAGCTTTAGTCCTCCGCGTACTTCAAGTATACGTCAAAGCACAAAAGTGCCGAAACGGTTTAGCTTAGTTGTACACCATGTCTACTCTTTGCATAGGCGTAAATGATTGTTCCTAATTTGTGGCCTACTGAGTTCCCTATCCCCAAAAATAGCCCTGAAGTTCCTAAATACATTAAGTCTTTGTTAGAATATTCCTATCTCTCAAGATAAAGGGACTACTTTCATTATTACCCATTCACCATCAAATTCACAAGTCCTTCTGATCAGTAGCTAGCTTATTAGTGAATGCTGTCATTACTTTGAGGATGTTGTGAATAATTGTGTCAAATAGTTTAGCCTGAGTACAAGGGTGTAGTTTAGGGAAGAATTTTCTTGATTTAAACTGTCTGTCTTGTGAATATCCCTTTAACTACGTGTGTATGCTAACTATTTTAAATTCCGTGTGGTGATTATCGTAAGTCCCGTTGTTCGATTTGCTTGAGGACAAGCAAAAGCTTAAGTGTGGGGGAGTCTGATAAGTCCGTATTTAGACACGCATTTGATGCGTGTTCGAGTCGGATTTTGATGATTTTCCTGGCTTTAAGGCGTTGCAAGTCTCAATTTTGGCTCAAGTTGTGTTTAACAGGCGTTGGATCGAGTTTCATAGCATTTGGAGCTGATTTGAAGAAGTTAGAGTCCGGCAATCGGCGCTTGAGAGGCATTCGGGAAGGATTTGAAGGCATTCGAGAGAGATTTGGAAGATTTGGAGGCCGCCGGGAGATTCACGACGAAATTCTGGTGAAGAAAGAGCATTTGGATCGACGTCGTAGGCATTCGGGAGCATTCGGAACGAGAAACGAAGAAAAATGGTGAAGAAAAGGGCAGGCACGGCCGTGCCTAGGTCAGGCACGATCGTGCCTGCCATCTTAATCAACGTGAAGCTACTGGCAGCCAGACACGATCGTGTCCGGTGCAGGCACGATCGTGTCTGCTTAATTTTTGCGCGTCTCTTCCGCAGGCACGGTCGCAGGCACGATCGTGCCTGGCACCGTGCCTGGCCGCGATTTGTCCTAAATCGACTCAAATTTCCTGTTTTCTATAAATATGGCCTCCATACCCATTTTTGAGGGTTACGAACTTTGGAGAGAGGCCTAGGGACGAGTTTATCTGCGTTTTTACGTTGTTTAATCCAAGAACCTGGGATTCTTTGTAAGTTCAATTCTTTAATTAATGACAATTATTTCTATTCATCCCAATTCTTTTGATTCGTCAATTATGAGGCGTGAGTAGTTTAATTAGGGAATTGGGGTTGATGAAGGGGTTAATCATGTTTGATGGCTAGATTCTTGTCGGTTTAATTGCATGAATGCCGTTTAATTTGTGTTTGAATAATTTAATTGATATCTTTTGTAACCTAGACTGCAGCTAGAATTACAATTGCATGTAGAATGAATTAAGAGAGATCTAATTTGTTCTAGGACACATTCACACACACTTAATCGTTCGCTAAGAGATTAGTAGCGATTAAGGGGCCGTAAGCTCGCTCGTCTTGGCAATAATTTGAGATCCTGTCGCATGAGAGATCAGCCTGGTCCCCTAAATTATTGTACTCTACGCCGCGAGAGCGGTAAGAACTTAGTAATGATTAGCTAGGCTCAATTAAATTAAATTCATGAGATTAGGCCTGTTCTGCCAGAAATCTGGTTAACCCCGGAATCAATTCCTGTTCCCTTCGTCGTTAATTAAGGAAAACCAAATCTTTTTATTCGCTCATTAGCATTAGTTTTAATTTTAATTCAATCAATCAATCTCGCACACTTGCATTTTATTTTATTTTAGTTTTATTCGCTGAATTTAGTTAATCTTTAATTCCCTTTTGTCCGTCCCTGTGGAGACGATACTCGTACTTTCAACCACTTTACTACATCATTTTTAAGTGCGAGAAAACACACATCAATCCTCATATCCTCCATCCATCTCATAGTCCTCATCCGCCATTCTTGTTTCTCCCGACCGCCAAAGGTGAACTCAGTCAAGACCCTGTGCAAGAACAAAATTGGGGTCTTCCTGGAGGCTGTAGAGGCTGAGAAAGTGAGATGCGTAGGGGCGGTAGAGTGATAGTGTTAGATGCATACGCATGCTACGTATCTTGCCGCGGAAGTATTGCTTATATTATTAGCGGATACCAAGTTGTAAATATATTGTACATTTATTTTAGTTTATTTCTTTCCTTCTTAGTAGGAGATTTTATTGGACTAGAATTGTATATATGTATTCCTTCGGCATATTGAATAGCGGAGAAAAAGTTTTCCTTCTCTTTAGCGTGTAGTTTTACATGGTATCAGAGCTTCTTTGAAACTACACACGGCCTATTCCACGATCATGACGAACAACGACAATCCACCACGGAGGAAGATCAACGACCCAATTTCCCCATATTTTTTGTCCAATTCAGACTTCCCAGGTCTGAATATTTGTGGTACGACATTGAAGGGAGAACGAAACTATCGAGAATGGGCGATCTCGATGAAGAACGCCTTGCGTGCCAAACGTAAGGTTGGGTTTATAGATGGAACGATCAAACGACCAACTGGACCAATTGACGATGTGGAGGACTGGATTACCGTAAACTCCATGATAACCGGATGGATCATGACGTCGATCGAGCCGGCCATGCGGACAAATATTGCCTTCATGGATGAAGCTCGTGACCTTTGGAATGATCTCAAGGCCCGATTTGCTGTGGGTGATTCGATGCGGACGTACGAATTGAAGAATTTGATCCGGAGTTGCAGGCAGAATGGGGCGACGGTGGCGGACTACTTCGGACGTTTGAAGACTCTGTGGGATGAACTCGATGGTTATAGAATTATTCCTCGATGTGATTGCCAGGGATGCAAGTGTGATCTTGAAACACAATTTCTCAAGCAGATTGAGACGGAAAAATGCCACGACTTCTTGCTTGGCCTTGACAACGAGATGTTTGGGGTTTTACGCTCGAACATACTCAGTCAAGAGGAACTTCCGACGCTGACTAAGTTGTATAATATAATGGTCCAGGAGGAACGTCACCGCAACATGACCCGCGGTAGAGACGAACAACCGGAGGTTACTGCCTTTGCGGTGCGGCAAAGTGCACCGAAACAAGACGAGGAGCCAAAACTTGTGTGTGGGTATTGTAAGAAGAATGGCCATGATGTTGAACACTGCTTCAAACGTATCGGCAAATATCCCGACTGGTGGTTTGATAACCCGGGAAGAGGACGCGGAGGCCGTGGCCGTGGGGCAGGAAGGGGACGAGGAAGAGCTACTGCAAATGCGGTGCATGCCGGACCTGAAGAAGCTGCTGCACAGCCCAAGGATGAAAAACCGGACCTCACGGCCTCACATGGGTCGCAGGTATTTACTCAAGAGCAGTGGCGTGCTCTTATGAAAGCAATGGAGAATTTCCAGGTCACTGCCTCTTCTGAAAAATTGACAGGTATGGGTACTAACTATACGTGGCTCCTTGATTCGGGGGCTTCGTATCATATGACCGGGATAGAGAGTGTTTTTGATCACAAGAAACAGGTGCCACCACTTCCTGTTACGTTGCCTAATGGGGAAGTAACTCATGCCACATTTATGGGACACATTCAGATTAGTTCACACATTAAATTATCAAATGTTTTATTTGTACCTGGCCTTCGGTGCAATTTAATTTCTATAGCCCGCTTGATTGATGATGCCAGATGCGATATATTTTTTACTAATCAGATTTGTGTGATACAGGCCCTACCTTCGAGGACGCCGATTGGAGTGGGTAGAAGATGTGGGGGGTCTACTATTTTCTATAGCCCGCTTGTGTTAAGATGCAGGGTTCCATCCTAAAAGGTCAACCCATGCGGTTGTTTTGTGACAACCAGGCGGCCCTTCATATTGCCTCTAACCCAGTCTATCACGAGCATACAAAACATATTGAAATAGACTGTCACTTCTTGCGGGACCACATTAGTTCTGGGGCTATTCTTCCTTCTCATCGGTCCACTACCGAACAATTGGCGGATGTTCTCACTAAGGCTATTGGTCAACGACAGTTCACCTACTTATTGTCCAAGATGGGTATTCGGGACCCTCATAGCCCATCTTGAGGGGGGGTGTTAGATGCATACGCATGCTACGTATCTTGCCGCGGAAGTATTGCTTATATTATTAGCGGATACCAAGTTGTAAATATATTGTACATTTATTTTAGTTTATTTCTTTCCTTCTTAGTAGGAGATTTTATTGGACTAGAATTGTATATATGTATTCCTTCGGCATATTGAATAGCGGAGAAAAAGTTTTCCTTCTCTTTAGCGTGTAGTTTTACAGATAGAGCCTAATGGCGGATTGGCGGAGGGACGTAGGCTGGTGACGGAGTGGCGGTCGCAGAAGGACGTTGCGTCGCTGACTCCCTGCCCATCTGTCTACTCGCTTGAGTCCTTCAGTAGCCTGCTACCGGATTGTGTTTTGTACTTTTGTTGCTTATTTATCTTATGTTGTAAGACTTTTGCACTTAGATTGGGGGATAAGAGGCTTGCGGTAATCGTCGTGATTTTGAATATGCCCAATTTAAGATTAACGAGTTATATTGCTTTTTCAAAGATGATTAACTCAGAGTCTCGTCCACGGGCGGGTGGTTAAATGTGATCCTTTTGTTATTTCAACCCCTTTCTGAGTGCTTTTTATGAATGAATGCTCGTACGATGATAAAAAAAGATAAGTGAAAACTAGGGATGGACCCAGGCCGGGCCAGTTCCGGTTCGGGCCTGGGCCCGGCCGGGATTTTGTTTGGGAAGTAGGGAACCGGAACCGGCCCGGGTAGCCGACGGTTCCGGGTCGGGCCGGGCCGGTTTCCGGTTCAAGTTATTTTTTTATTTACTTTTGTTTTTCTAAATTACCCCCGACCCCCCCCCCCCCCCCAAACACCCAGCCCTACCCGGTAGAAACAAAAAAAATTGAAAATAAATAAACAAATTTGGCCCGAATCGGGCCCGAACCGGCCGGGCAGGTTCACCATTTTCAAGGCCCGAGCCCGCACCGGGAATAGACCGGTTCCGTTTGGCCCGAACCGTCTCCAAGATCGGGTACCGGGCCGGGCCCAAACAGTACCGGGCCGGTTTCGGGACGGGCGGCCTGACCCGAGTCCACCCCTAGTGAAAACCCCTAAATATTTGTTTGGTTTGGTTTTGTTCTATGTCTAAAATTTTAGTGAGTCAGTTTTACTTCAAATGACGCATTGTTTAGACGCATTATTATAATCTTCTTACTGGTGACTAGGGGTGGACTCGGGCCGGTTCGGGCCCGATTCAGGCCTGGTCCTGGCCGGGCCTCGGTTCATGAAAGGGGAGGCCCGGAACCGGCCCGGGTTAACCCCCGGGTCCGGGTCGGGCCGGGCCAGGCCTCGGTCGTTCAATTTATATTTTTTTTGGCTTTTCCTAATTAACCCTGCCCCTCACCCCCAAGCCACCCCAAACCACCTCAAATGGCCCAAAATACCCAGCCCAACCCAAAAACTTAAAAAAAATCAAAAAAAAAAAGAAAAATATATAAATTGGCCTGGACCGGGACCAAACCGGCCGGGCCGGTTCACATTTTGAGGGGCCCGAGCCCGGACCGGAACCCCAGCGGATCGGGCCTACCCGGACCGGTCCCTGGCCGGGCCGGCGGTTCGAGCCGGTTCAGGCCGGTTCCGAGGCGGGCCGCCCGGCCCGAGTCCAGGCCTACTCGTGACTATTAGGGTACATTAATAAGAATTCCTTTAGTCAGATAAGGAAATAAACTTCATTTACCTATCTCCAAAAAAGAAAAAGCGTTTTTGACTAGGAAGCACGGAAACTCTCCATGGCTCACGTTTCCACGTTTCGGAAACTCGGAAGCGTTTCGGAAACTCAGAAACTTCAAATTCCCGTTTCGGGGCCATTTCCGTAATTAAGAAAATTTTGGAAACCCGTTTCACTACGTTTCGGAAACCTCGGATTCCATTTTTTTTTCTTTTTCAAAAGATTCTGTGGTGGAAAATAATTTTAATAGTGAATTTTTGTGGTATTTTTCAGAGGTAACACTTGTTACATTTCGTAACACAATGTATTACTAGAAATGTATTACTCCGTACATTTTATGTTTAATTATGTACTAATATGAAATAATATCTAAATTCGGACATGTAGAGTGATTTTATTATTTGGTTACTAAACAAATTATATTAAAAAAACATGTGCATATGGAAAAACTTGTGTCCATATATTAAAAAATATTTATAAATATATTCTTATATTTTATAATATTTACGCGTTTCCCCCACGTTTCGTGTCCTATATTTTTTAGAAATTACGTTTCTCGCGTTTCCCGTTTCACGTTTCCTATTTCTCGTTTCCGTGCAACTTAGGTTTTTGATACTAGTATATTACGATATTATACGTAGTATATTATACGGAGTGATAGACACACTCCTACCATAGTACCATCAGTCCATCACTAACCTCTCGTCATTACCTTTAGCTATTACTTTCAACTCATACAGAAAAGACTGTGTCCGGTAGCTCCATTGGCTTATTGCACCACACAGAACATCACCATTTGTGTTTTAAGGGGGGTAAAATTATTGTGCTTTCTTTAATTCCATAAAGAATTGAAAGTTTGAAACAGGTTATTTTGTATAGTAAAGGCATAATAGGTAAAATACATAATCACCATATGTGACAGAAATAATTTAAAGAAAACTTCGATCGAAATATTGTTCCACTGTGTCCGGTGGCTCCATTGGCTTATTGCACCACACAGAACATCACCATTTGTGTTTTAAGGGGGGTAAAATTATTGTGCTTTCTTTAATTCCATAAAGAATTGAAAGTTTGAAACAGGTTATTTTGTATAGTAAAGGCATAATAGGTAAAATACATAATCACCATATGTGACAGAAATAATTTAAAGAAAACTTCGATCGAAATATTGTTCCAATATCTCCAGATTGCATAATGCTAGGCCTGGACTCGGGCCGGGCGGCCCGCCCCGGAACCGGCCCGGCCCGGTTATTTTTTGACCCGGCCCGGCCCGGTTACTGTTTGAACCGGCCCGGCCCGGGAACCGGTCGGGGGCGGTTCGCGTCGACCCGGCCCGGTAGTCCAGCGGTTCGGTCTCGGGCCCTTCAAAAATTAAAATTATTTGCTGGCATCTAGCCGTTGGGAGACCTCCCAAACGGCTCTATAGCCGTTGGAGGGGGTGGGAGGGGGGGTCCAGGGGTTTTGGGGGTGGGGGTGGGGATAAAAAAACCTATTTATACTCCTATTTTCTATACATTTTTTTACACCTCTTCTCCAACTCTTCCTACTCTCTAATTCTCTATTCCCTCATACTCTTAAATCTTAATCATCTCCATCTTCATCTTCTCCAAACCTCTATATATATATATATATATATATATATATATATATATATATAATTATTATATCTACTTACATATTAATTATCTACTTATATACCTATATTATATTACTAATATTTATTATCTACTTAATATATATTTATTATCTTCTTAATATTTACTTTGATATCTACTTATCATCTATACTTATTGTTATTTACTTATATATTAAATTATTAATTATCTACTTTACATGCATATATTATATTACTTATATTCCTTATCTACTTAATCTCTACCTATTATCTACTTATATATATTAAAGTATTATATATAAGTGTATTACTCATCTTATAGTAATATACTTATATATTATATACAATAAACATTATATTATATATTAGTTATAAAATAATCTACTTATATACCTATATTATATTACTAATATTTATTATCTACTTAATATATACTTAAATTACTTATTATCTACTTATACATCTCCATCTTCATCTTCTCCAAACCTCTCTACATATATATATTATTTATATAATTATTATATCTACTTATATATTAATTATCTACTTATATACCTATATTATATTACTAATATTTATTATTTACTTATACATCTCCATCTTTTTAATATTTACTTTGTTATCTATATTTATTGTTATTTACTTATATATATTAAAGTATTATATATAAGTGTATTACTCGTCTTATAGTAATATACTTATATATTATATACTATAAACATTATATTATATATTAGTTATACAATTATATTAGTTACACTTGAATTCATAGTAATTAAATTCATCGTATTAGTTAATTTTTACATTTTTCATTAAAGTATAAAAGTAGTTAATTGTTACATTTTTCATTAAAGTATAAAACTAGTTAATTGTTACATTTTTCATTTAAGTATAAAACTAGTTAATTGTTACATTTTTCATTAAAGTATAAAAGTAGTTAATTGTTACATTTTTCATTAAAGTATAAAACTAGTTAATAGTTACATTTTTCATTCAAGTATAAAACTAGTTAATTGTTACATTTTTCATTAAAGTATAAAACTAGTTAATTATTACATTTTTCATTCAAGTATAAAACTAGTTAATAGTTGAATTTTTCATTTCCCTATTATTTAATTTGTTAATTGTTGCATTCATCACAAAAGTAAAAAACTAGTTAATTATTAATTGTTGCATTAAAGTATAAACTAATAAAAGTAGTTAATTTTATTAGTCGCATTTTATTATTACTATTGTACTCATATTAAAACATTCGATATCATATAATATTTGTTACATTTTAAAGATGGACCATGCCAGACATTCCGTAGATGTGGGTAGTCTCCAACGCAACCGAAGGAAGGAGATTGCGACAAGTCATCCTAGTTTACGCAAAGGCAAAGGTAAAGGGCGGTTGGGTCTTCTTCTCATAGTCGAGTAGATTTTGATGACGGATACCAAAGGCGAGATGGGGATGCGATGTCCGACGAGCAACTACAACAACTATTCGCGCAAAATGATGGTCGCTTTTTCTAACAACAAAACATCCCGGAGTTCATTGATGAACAGGAGCTCGAGGATGACGATACGGAGGAGGACGAGGGGGGCGACGGGACTCACGACACCACGGATGATGAGCAAGAGCCAAGAGTTGGAAGATGAGGACGGTCCATTCCAAGTTGGTAAGAAATCTAAATCTCCTATTATAAAAAATAATTTTACAAAAATGAAAGACCCATACGTAGTAATCATGAGAGCGAGGGCGGTCCATACGCTTATATTCTACCACGATTGGTTGAAGGCCATACATAGATGTCAAGAAGTTAGCATCACCCCCTCCCAAGACTTTATGGATGAATCAACAACCGAGGGTGGCTCTGATGCCGATAGGGGTGGACTGAACCAGGCCGGTTCGGGCCTCGGGCCTGGGCCCGGCCGGGCCTCGGTTCAGAATATTGAGGCCCGAGCCCGAAGCGGGGGTGGCCGGTTCCGGGCCGGTTCCGGGCCGGGCCACCCGCCTTATTTTTTTGTTTTTGTTTTTTGGCTTCTTTATTTAATCCCCTACCCCTCTTTCTCAACCCCAAACCACCTCAAATGGACCAAAATACCTAATCTAACCCAAAACATAAAAAATTTTCAAAAAAAATTAAAAAAAAAATTATTTCCGGCCCGGACCGGGCCCGAACCGGCCGGGCCGGTTCACCATATGGAAGGCCCGGGCCCAGAACCGGGAACCACCGGGCCGGTTCGACCCGAACCGCCGGTGAATCGGGCCACCGGGCCGGGCCAGTTGCTACAGTGGCCGGGCCGGTTCCGGGTCGGGCCGCCCGGCCCGAGTCCAGGCCTAGATGCCGAAGATTCCGATTGATTAGTATTTTACAGTTTATTATAAAATGTATTTCATGTTTTAATTTTTCCTTCAATTCTCAATTGTAATTTGTAAAGTTGTATTTCATATTTCAAATAAATATACATTCTTTTTTATATATATAGCACTTCTCAAATTAATTAATTAATTAATTGGTTACAAACTTACAACTTACAACTTAGAATTTATTGTATTAGTATTTTTTGAAAAATGTATTTCATATTTAAGTTGTATTAAAAAGATAAAAAAAATTAACCTAGGCCCGACCTGACCCGGCGGGTGGCCTGGCCCGGCCCGGAGCCCGGCGGGTGACCCGGCCCAAACCGGAACCGGGTGAAGGACGGGCCGGTTCCGGGCCCCCTTTATAGGACCGGAGGCCCGACCGGGCCTAGGCCCGGCCCGGGCCCGGCCTGAACCGAGTCCAGCCCTACATAATGCATAGTGTCTTAAGGGTTTGGATATTGTTCAAGCTTGGAGACTTTCAACTGATAATTGTTAGCAAATGTCTCTCTCTAGGTTATAAAACTTTCTACAATCATTTCAGTTGCAATTTAAACAATGCTTGCCATTTCCCCATCAGTGCCACAGCAGTTCCCCCCCTCCGCCGCTCACCACATAACAACACTGCTCATCATAAATTTCACTTGAATGGAATACAAAGGGCGGTAGATTCATAGGTAAAATGAGACATGAGAAGTCTTGTGTCATCGACAGATAGCTCATTTGAAGGTGACTAGCTTGACTAATTTATCACTCATTTTATCACGCCTGTCTTCTTATGCCCTCTACTAATACACACTGTCTATATGCATGGTTTGCTAGTACTGCCTGTATGTATGGCACCTTATGCAAGGCCATGTATGTATTTCGGACTACAGTGCATACCTTATGCAAGGCCATGTATGTATTTCGGACTACAGTTATGCACGATGATGGAAGTACTTCTCTGATAAAACACCTTCTTATGGTAATAATGCACTCTAAGCATGGCACACAGTCTGAAACAGATATCCACCACATTACTAAATCTGGTGGGGAGTTCTCAGGAGTAGTGACATCTCAAAAACACAAACGACTCAATTAGAAAGTCACAGAGGTCTTTATAACTTTAAGTTCAGGGACACATGATGTTACTGTCTAAATTTAAAGTTGGATACCTCACATTCGCTTCATTTAGTTGACATACACAACCATAACTAATAGCACAAAAATTGACTCTAAAACTTAGATTCCAACATTCACAGCAAACTATAACATCAATCACAATATTGCTTTTCCTTACACCTAAACACTCTCAGCACACACTAGATGCAAAAAGAGAAATACCATACATTCTAACATTTGCCCTATCAATTCAATCCTTTGATGCTACTTATTAAGGCCTTTTAATCTCAGGGAGATAGTGTATCGAGATAGGAATAATTGGTGAATAACATCAGAATGCTGTTGAAAAAATCATTTATTTCACATTCACACTAATCACGGACTTCTCACAACACTAGTGTATATGCTCACAATCCTGCTTAGGCAGCAGACAGGCACAACTTCATCTGATAGACTAGCAAGATTTGTTTATTTGAATCTACAACAGAGTGGACGTAATCCATTGCAGACAAACCCTAATTGATTGAACTTACCAACGAAACCGTTCTAATAAGAGAACAAAAGAGAGAATTGAAATAGGAAACGCTTGAACAGTAATCATTTAAAACATACAAAGACAGATCATGATGAAGGGCACATTCATCCAAAAGAAATACCTTGAATCGTCTACTCAAGCATTCATTGTAAATCAAAATAATCCTTGGATGAAGAAACTAAAATCCTCAAAAACATAATGGCAAAAATTAAAAAAGCACAACATAATTACTAGTATGGAAGAAAATTTAGAGTTCAAAAACTCCTGAAATCGAGTCCTTGTTTCCTTACCCTACACACTCAGGCTTAGGCTTCAGGAATCTCCACATCACCGTCATCAATCTCCTGCTGCAGATCCTTTGGGTCCTTGCCGTCGACTGTGCAACCGACTGAAACACATGTTCCTAAAATCTCCTTCACAGTGCCGCTCAATTCCTTAGCCATGGAGCGCGGGCGCATGATTTTAGCAATCTCGATCACATCATCGAGCGAAATGTTGCCGCTATGCTTGATATTCTTAACCTTCTTCCGGTCGCGCTCAGGCTCCTTGAGCGCCTTGATGACTAAGGCGGCGGCGGATGGGACAACTGAAACCTTCGCCTGACGATTCTGGACTGTCAATTTGACGGTCACACGCAGGCCCTTCCAGTCCTTAGAGGTCTCCTTGGCGATGTCCTCACCGATCTTCTTTGGGGAAAGTCCGAGCGGACCAATCTTGGGGGCGAGAGAACTAGCCGCCCCAACTTCACCGCCGGTGACTCGGACGAAAACCTCGACGACCTGAGAAGGATCGAACTTCGGCGGCATTTTGACAGAATGATGGAGAGGGCAGAGATCGTCGCTAGGGCCTTCGTCGGCTTTCTATATAGGAAGCGAAATGAGCTAACGATTTAAGAGCTAGGGTTTTGAAGATTTTTGCCGAAATTGACCTGTTTACCCTTATTGGGTTCTGATTCCTTTCCAGTTATACTTGGATATGAGAAGCCCATTATCCTTGGGTGGGTTCAGTATCTCATATGCTCCATCGTGGGGCTGCCCATATGAAGCCCATCATACGGTAGAAGCGTTTGTACTTTCTACTAAATTAGTACTCGTAAATTACTAAATTCTACTCCCTCAGTCCCCTCAATTAAGTTCCTGGTTTGACTTCACACATATTAAGAAAATAAATTTGACTTTACTGTGGAGTGCACTGTTTTGCATTGATCAAACACTGTCCGACATTCCGTGGACACTGTTTGGCACTGTTTAGCACTGTTTGGCACTGTTTTGATGTAGATAATTTGCCAAATAAGGAAAGTATTGAAGTGTGAACTTAATTTAGGGACTGCCCAAAAAGGAAAGTGAGAACTTAATTGGGGGACGGAGGGAGTAAGTTCTAATATTGAGCCTTTAAGAAAAAGTTCTAACAAGGGTAAAACCTAGTGCGTGTTTTCTTCCGTTTTCGATTCTTCGATCGAAGAATGGCGTTCTTTTCTGTTTTTTATTTTCTGATCAAAGAACGGTTTGTTTTCTTGGCTGGTGATCAGTAATCGAAATCGAAATCGCAAAGCTGGTTTTGGGTGGTTTGGGAAGGGTTCGAGCTTCGGTAGGGGCTCCGTACATTGGGCACGTCTGGTTCGCTTTCGGCCAAGAAGGAGAGAAGGGGAGGGCTCGAAATTTGCTGATGGAGGATGTCGACAAGCAGGTGGTGTTCCAGGTGATCGGCGTCGTGATTACGGATCGGATTATCAGTCTTCCGGGGTTCCAAGATCTACTGGCATCCGGTTGGCGCCAGGGGAAATCGCTTTGGTGCAACAACAATGATGAAGAAGAGGCGGTCGAGTCGGAGGAAAACCGCTTTGGTGCTTTAACAATTGTTGCGAGGGCTCGGCCTCCCCTAGAACCACCTCCAAGGGTTAATCGACGCGATTTGGAGTTTGCTTATTTATCTTTTCTGCATTTTAATTTCCATGTTCAGTCGTTTGTGTTTGGTTGTTATTTTATTTTATGCTATAAGACTCTTGCATTAGGTTTGGGGGATAGGAGGTCTGCGGTAAGCATCGTTTGCTTTAAATTCCCCAAATTAGGTCTAGCGAGTTATATTGCTTTGTTTTGGGTGATTAACTCAGAGTCTCGGCCAACAGCGGATGGTTACATGTGGTCCTTTCAAGTTCTTGTACTCCTGCCGAATGCTATTTTAATGATATAAGCGTTTTATGATCAAAAAAGAAAAAGTTCTAATATTGAGAAATAATTAATTTTATTCGTTATATTAAAAGCGGTTAATACAGGTTGTTAATTTTTTAAATACATTTTGGATACATGCTTTCATTTTTTAGTTTTAAAGTGCATAATTTAAACTAAATCACGAAAATATAATTTTTAACTTTTTTAAAGTAAGAACGTGAAAACCACCTTTTGGCCACAAATACTTCAGAGAGATTCAATTCACGGATTCCATGTCATTAAGTATAAACCTTAATTAAATATTATATTCTATGTCTTGTTCTATATGTCTTACAGCATCTCCAATGGTAAAATGTGCACGGTGCACACGTGGCATGAGAAATGACCACATAAATATTAGTAAATAAATTCTTTTTCTCCTTATTTGAATGATTTTATACATTTTTGGTAAGTTTTTCTCCACAATGTCAATGAGACCGTCTAGATGTTGACATTGTTGTTGACATTGCAGGAAAAAACTTACCAAAATTGTATAAAATCATTCAAATAAGGAGATAGATAATTTATATGCTAATATTTATGTGGCTATCACTCATGCCACATGTGCACCGTGCACATTATAGCATTGGAGATGCTCTTATTTTCCTTATTAGATTGTCTCGAAATAAGTATCATAATCGTTCTTTTGGAAAGAAATATGTCGTCCTTAACATTTTACCTTTTTACACTCAAATTTTAATCATAACTTTTTTTCAACCACTTTAATAATATATTTTGTGTCAAATCAAAAGAAGACACATTTTATGACTCGGGAGTTTGCCGTTGTTGTTCCAAAAAGACGAAGATTCCTTTTCAATTTTCATGGACGAAAATACGTGTGTTTGCGGTTGCTTATAAAAAGCGTTTTTCAGCTTTTGACTTAAAAAAGTTAAAAAGCGTGTTTTCAAATGACAGCTTCTACTTAAATTAATCACTTAAAAGCTAAAAGCTGGAAACTGGTATAAGGGTGCTTTAAACTGGTTTTCACTTTTTCTATTACACAAAAAGTACTTACTTTACCAAACACTACCAACTTTTACTTTTTAAGAATCACTTTTTTCTCAAACACTACCAAGTTTTACTATTAATCACTTTTCCCAAAATCACTTTAAAAAACACTTTTTAAACACTCCCTATGTGTGCAACATTTGGTACACATGTCAGACCCAATTTTAGCCTGCAACCTGCAATACTTCGTATAGTAAAGTCACTGGGGGGCCCTCAGGGATGTGGTGTCATCCTTTTTTTATAGTAAAGCCCCTCTACGTACTCCGTATTATTTTGTTAAGATTAAGATTCGTAAGTTAACACTTTAGTTAGCTTCTTCATTTCAGTAAATATTACTCTCATAATTTTTTTTTTGAAACCGAGACTAGTCACTTTATTGATAATTGAGAAGGTCATTCGCCAAAAGGCTTACAATACAATCTGGCATTATATCATAACTACAACTATGATCTGTGATGGAAACATGTGCTCTAGCAAGCTTTGAGCAACACGATTCGCAGACCGTGGACAATAAGAGACATGAAAATTGCTCTTTGTACTTAACATGGATCGTATATCATCAGTAATGAGGTCCAAATAGGCTAAACCATCCCCTCCCTTAACACCTCGTATGACTGTCTGAGCGTCAGACTCCAACTCGATGTTCTCCCAGCCCTCCTCAATAGCCACCTTGAGAGCCTCTCTTAACCCCATAGCTTCAGCCTCCGTCGGACTCCAGTCAGCCGTTATTGATCCCCCTCCAACCTTGACAAAATTGCTTTGTTCATCCCTTGCCACCCAACCCCAAGCTCTTCTACCCTGGTTCATATCTGTTGCGGCATCTACGTTTATTTTTAAGCAGCCCGACCTTGGTTTGCCCCATCTCGGATTCCCCCTTCCGCCCCTGCTACCTGACAAATTCGGCTCTCCTTGAGCCTCTCGCCAAGCTTGTAGCATACAAGCACAGCTGTTCAACAAGCTCGCCGACTCTTGCATCTCGTTCTCCCAAACAAGAGAATTTCTTCTCTTCCATAAGCCCCATGTGATCATAGCCACCTTGGAACTTAAGCCTTTATCTGCACACGAAAGAAGTCTTTGGAGCCATACCTTAAAGGTCACCTCTCCGTTTCCGAGAATCACCCCCGCCTCCTCCCATGCCTCAGCTGCCTTCGGACATGTCATCAATGCGTGCTCTGTAATCTCGTCAGCTTGGCCGCAGATCTTGCACAGCCTCGGGATGGGCCCCCCCTCTTCTCCAGATTATCTGCCGATGGTAAAGAGCTATCCAGAATCTGCCATATAAAATATTTTACCTTTGGCGGAATTTTTAAGTCCCAAAAGGATTTCCATCCATCCCAGTCCCCTGGTTCCTCAATCTGCATAATAGATTTGTAACAGCTCTTTACAGTAAAAAGACCAATATTCTCTTTGTTCCACCAGAAACCGTCCTTTCTGTCACTGAGACTAATCAGAATGCTGTACATAGCTCTCCTATCTTCTTCAGTAAAGATGTCTGTAATCCTTTCTATGTCCCAGCTCTTCCCTGAACTATCCCTTAGTTCCGCTACACTCATGTCAGCTATCCCAACGGGTTTTGGAGATTTAATCTTTCCATCCCCCTGGCCCGACAACCAAGCATCGGCCAAAACTTGAATGTCCCTTCCATTGTCAGCCCGTCTTCTGATATTTGCTTTTAAAATATTCAGGGTCTCCAAAATGCTCCTCTACATGTAAGAAGGATTGTTCCCAAGATTTGCCTGTAGGAAACTGGTCTTAGGAAAATATCTAGCTTTAAGTACACGGCTCATCAAGCTGTCAGGGTTGGTAATAATTCTCCAGCCTTGTTTAGCAAGCATAACTAGATTAAATTCCCGGATCTTTCTGAAACCAAAACCTCCCATATTTTTCGGTTTGCAGAGTAATTCCCATCTCCGCCATCTTATCCCTCTCTGCTCGAACTTCGTGCCTTTCCACCAAAAGCCATTCATCAGCTTTTCTATCTCGTCGCATAAGTCCAGAGGTAATAAAAACACATTCATAGCATACGTTGGCATTGTCTGAACCACATTCCTAAGAAGCACAACTCTTCCTGCTCTGGATAGAAATCGATTGTTCCAACTTTTTATCTGGTTGAGTACCCTTTCTCTAATAAACCCCAGGGTAGCTGTTTTATTTTGTCCCACTAAACTTGGTAACCCCAGATATTTTTGATGTCCACCTTCCTGCGGCACACCAAAAAAATTGCAACAATAAGTTTAAAAAGTCTCGGCCACATTTTGGCTGAACGTGACCGAAGACTTTCGAAAGTTGATCTCCTGACCCGATGCCACCTCATATTCTGCTAGGATATTTTTCACCACCTCACACTCCGGTCCAGAAGCTTTGAAAAAAAAACTGTCATCTGCAAAAAAATAAATGAGATACCCTTGGTGCCTCCCTGCAAACCGCCACCCCGTGTAAGTCCCCCCTATGTTCGGCCCTACTAAACAAAGCACTCACACCCTCCGCCGCAAGGATAAACAAATAGGGGGACAAAGGATCCCCTGACGGAGCCCTCTGCCAGGCGTAATAGGACCCAACAAGTCCCCATCAAACTGGACATAATATTTGACAGTTTTCACACACACCATGATCATCTGAATCCACCTTTCACTGAAGCCCATTTTGTTTAAAATACCTTCCAAAAAGGACCAGCTCACCCTATCATACGCTTTGCTCATATCAAGTTTAAGCG